CCCTGCTTTATGGTCTGTTTTACTCTAAATGGGACCATCAGTTACTAAATGAACATCATGCTGTATGGAAGAAGACTGAAACTAGAGAGTGAGACCATAAACTCATCAGGAAACTGTTCACTGAGCTCATAAATCAAGTGAGAACTATGGCTTAAAGGCATGTGTAGCAAAGTTAGTGCTAAACTTCAGCAAGTCAGCAGTGCTAGCTATGATGGTGTTGGGATGTTGGTCTTTGAGATACTCTTGTTATAAATATTATGTGCTGCACTGAGTTGTAGTTGTATGGCTTAAGCCAGTTTGCTGTTGCCAACGTGTGCCTGTGAGTTCAAACAAACACAACTCTTGTTCTGGTGATTATTCTTAGAGTGTGATCAAGTATTTAAAATACTGGTACAATAAGTTGTTTTCAGGCTATGTTTTTGTAGGAGCTGCTACATTGACAGTTGCTACCAGGATTACATGCACAGTCTATTCTTGGGATTGCTTGTGTGATTTTTGATCATGACTCACATGTCTGTTCACTGTGCTCTCCTCATCCTCAGTCCTTTCTGTTGGTGTGATGGCTGTGTTGCTGGTACTTCTTCTCTCCGTGCTCCTTCTGTCCCTTCACACTCCTAGTCGAGCGTCTCCTTCCTGTCCTGTGAGCTGTCGCTGCTACAGCCTTACTGTGGAGTGTGGCTCCACCGGCCTGAGGGACATCCCCAAACACGTTCCTCAATCCACACAGGTAGGTTTATTGTACTGTTACACCAATTTTGATTGAAACAACAATGAAATACATTCTCCATGATTCTTTGACACATTCACTGTGTGAGGAAGGTGCAGCGTCCCAGTGCAGGTTATTGACCAGAACCACACATATGTCTTCAATTCCAATGCCACAACCTCATTCCTTCTGCACAACTGTGAACAAGTGTAAATTTCGCACAAGAATACAAATAAACACAAGAAATGTGTAGGGTAGTGTCAGGACAAGATGTCAGTTTGGCAGTGCCACTGCAGGCCTAGGGCTCATTCCTGCTGGTGTGATTGGCCCTGAGGGAGGTGATGAATGGTGTAAGGATGGTTACTTGTCCACTGCTGCACTTCCATGCCATTTGGGCCAAAGTGTCTGAAGCTGGTCCAACCAACAAAGCTTTGGCATCCTCTTCAGAAACTATACTCTATAGAGGGTTGTCTACATAGAAGTACTTCAAGACTGACTGACTGACTGACTGACTAAATCACCAGGTTGAGATGTGTTTATGGAGTGACAACTGTAGAATTGTTATATATACAGTAGATATAGTATGTAGTCATATACTGTATAGAATGAGTGCTTCTCACCCTATACAGTAAGGCATAACTGCTTTGGGGCTTTTCTCAAACTAAACTCTCCCCTTCAAATTTTTCCATCTTGTTTTCTGTCCATCCAGACCATCTTCCTCCAGGACAATGTGATTGGTCAGATCCGTCGACAGGATCTAACTCTGCTGAGGCACCTGCACTACTTGTACCTGCAGGTAACAAACGGCTGGGCATAAAGAACTGGTTTTGAATCGGAACCAGGGATTTGTTATTTAGTTACTGATGCCTCAATGCAAAGTTTGGACCTGCAGAGTTTTTGTCTACATCACATTATACCATGTATGCATTTATATATTGTATGTATTGTATATTTTGTGGCAGAGAGGGTTGTGCACTGATTGCAGGGTTTGTGGTTCAACCCACCTCCTCCTATCAACATGTTCAAGTGTCCTTGTGCACAATATACTGAACCCTAATTTGCTCACCAGCCAGGAGATGCACAAACCAGTGCATCTCCTGGCTGGGGGGTTCTGTCAGGAACGGCATCCAGTGTAGAAAACCTGTGCAAAATCCAATATGTGTATCATCAGACCTACAGCCAAACCCCCACAGGGAGCAAGCCAAGCTAAGCTTCACTGTAGTGATACAATACAGTGATTATGTGTACGTCTATGTAATTACTGCTCCAGAAATGTTTAAATGTGAGAGAGGAAGTCTTATTGACGCTACAAAGGCTTTCATGCAGCAGGTACAGTATAAGAATGCAGCCTGTTTGCTATTTCACATGCATGATGCCCCAGAATCACCTACTGCTAGAGGGTAATAACATTTACACTGCAGCCCCATACCAACAAACTGTGATGTACTGTGTGTTCTGACACCTTTTTATCAGAACCAGCATTAACATTTTCAGGAGTTTGAGCTATAGTAGGTCGTCTGTTGGATCGGACCACACGGGCCAGCCTTCACTCCACACGTGCATCAGTGAGCCTTGGCTGCCCATGTTGCCGGTTCACCATTTTTCCTAAAAATGCTATCATTTTGAGAATATTCAGAAAACATATAAATAGTTTATCCTAATATAAAGGTCTAAACAGTTTACATTATACCACTCAGTTAACACTTAGTCCAGGTAACCCACTCTGTGTACCTACAAGTTTAAGCTGTTATTGTATGAACTAATCCCTATACTAATAATAACATGTTTTTCAGATTTCTTTCTGTATTCCTTGTTTGAATGCACTACCAGCTGTACTCTATTCTGGTCCAAGTTTGAGGACCACGATCACTCCACTACCAGTCATCTCTACACTGGTCTCATTGGTTTATGGTGATTATACTGCAGTTCGGTGGTTCCCAACCTGGTGTCAGGACCCCCACTAGGTGTTACCAAAGCTTCACAGGGGGTCGCAAGGCCTTCTTGATTTTAAGGGGTGTAAGGAAACTTAAAAAATATACACGATAGCCCTATATAACAGTATTTCATTAATTTCTGTAAATAATGGATTATTAATTAAATTATAACTTTGAACACAACACAAGCTATGTTCACAGAGCCTTCACTCATTGATAAACAGCTTCGTCCTGCATTACAAAAGTTTAAACTGCAGTGGCCATGGGTTCGAATCTGACCTGTGGCCCTTTGCTGGGTGTCATCCCTTGTCTGTCCCCCCTTTCCTGTCTATCTTCAGCTGGCCTATCTAACAAAGGCAAAAAGCCCCCAAAATATATTATGTTTAAAAATAAATAAAATTTTTAACATCCAAAGAGCTAATAGAACAATGAGAAGAAAACACTGAATTTGTTTGTTGAAAAAAAGCCCATTAAGTATGATTGTTAAAATGCTAAACATACATAATAAAGACATACAATTGTATAAAAAATATCAGTAAAACCAATATGCGATCAATATGACACAAAAGGCTTTATACAACTTTTTCACATATACAAAACAGACTTTTATGTGTAAAATCAGTGGAGTTCCCCTTAAGTAGAAATAAAAATCATTGATATCTACATGTTTTTATTTTTAAATGGACAAAGAGATGGATGAGTTCCCTTCTGTAATTCTCTGTTGGTGAGAAATAAATTCTAACCAAGATGGAATCAAATGGTTTTCAATGTAGTGCATTAGCAGCATCAGTAGTAGAATCTGCAGTTCCTGCAGTTTGGTCATCTTATCATGCTCCTCCTCCTCCAGAACAACACAATCTCAGCAGTGGAACCTGGCTCTTTCCAGAACCAGGGTCAGTTGTTGGAGCTGGCTCTGAATGGGAACCGGATCCACCTGGTGACAGCTGACATGTTTCAGGGACTCGAACATCTTCGCATTCTTTACCTAGCAGGAAATGACATCACACGCCTGCTGGACTACACCTTTCGTGGCTTACAGGTAAGACACATTAAAGCATATGTGTGAAGTCGATTACATTTCACTGTTAAAGCTATGCAACATACATTCTCTGCAGTTGCCTTCATTCCTACGTGAGGCTCCATTGATGATATGTATTATTTCCTCCATGTCTCTGCAGCGTCTGCAGGAGCTCCATTTGCAGCACAACAGTTTAGAGATGTTAGCAGACCAGGCTCTAGTTGGTTTGTCTTCCCTGGCTCTCCTGGACCTGAGCAGAAATAATCTTCACACCATTGGCCCGGTGTCCCTGCGACCTCTGGTCAGCCTGCAGGTGCTGCGCATCACAGGTGAGACTGGAATGTTGATATATTGACATACATGTATAAAACATTAGGAATGGTTCTGAGAAAACTTGGCTGGAGAACTTTGACAATCATGTTTGTTTTTTTGCTTTTCTAAAACACTATTGTATACACGGTAACAACAATTTACAACCAATTTAAGGTTTTAATTAAAGCGCTGTTCAGAAAGATTGATGCCAGATTGAATGATTGACTGATAATATTGAATCCATCAATTTGCATTATTTCTGAAGTTATTCCGTATCCTCCTGAGACCCAGAACAAAAAAGGTTTTTATTTTATTTACTTTTCCACCAAAAGTACTGCAACCTCTACTTTGCAAGTCACCCAGAGGCCTGGTGGTCTCTTGTGGCAGCCAGATCAAAGAAATGCAGGATGGTGTTAAACTTGTTTTAAAGGACATTGGACAAAGGCTGATCATGCAGTAGCACAGATCAAAATATTTTTAAAAAAGTTTTAAATATGGTTCAAAATGTAAGGAAGCAAGTGCCACTGTCCCACAAAGGACATGGGTTAAAATTTGTATTTTGAAAGGCTTAGAATTTACATACAGTACATTTCTAAAATCTTGATATTATACACAGTAGTTGAGACTCCTTATGAAGAACAGAAAGAATATATCTGCATAGATTTAATTTGTGCCAGATGTAGGCCACATCATCATCAACATGCTTGTCCCCTTCTGCACCTGTATCTGTACATAAGTACAGTCATACAGCTTTAAAGTTTTTTTAATAAAACATTCGGAATGTAAGTAGACTTGTCGTTATGCCATCAAGGACAATCTGCCTCTCTTCCTCCACATTCACCTCTTTCCTGTTATTATTAGCCATTCATAACCCTCCTGTACATAAATACATATACATTGCACATTCCAGTTTTCACCTCATTTTCTGTGGAGTGAACTGGAGGAAGAGAGATCTTGGAGAGCAGCTGAGAGTGTGGAGCACACACTGCAGCTGCCACTGTGAAATTTCACTGCAAATGGCTGCAGTGGCTTGTCATGGTTAGGAACCACATGGATTTTGATAGTGATATGTACACTGTATACCATATAGTGTATATATACAGGAACTGTTACAAAACAGTAGCCTTCAAATGTGTTCAGTTGATGATGATCACTTAATGTCAAGTTTTCAAGTTGTCAAATACAGATGCAAGTGGTGTTCTGTTATTTGCAGTCAGCAACTCCACCGCTAGGAATTCACATTATAGTTACTACCGCTGACCATACACAGTTACTAATTTCCACCTAGTCTTGTTTGATTATTTATGTGATGATAACCTTAAGAAGAACACTGATCATTAAACAGTAAATATCTTTGCAGGTGACCTGGAGGAAGGCGTCCCAGGGAAAAGTGGTGCTTTCTCCCAGAGGCCTGGTTCAGGAGCTGGGTGCTGGAGGAGGTGCAGTGGGCAGAGCAGAGGAGCCCTCAGAGGAAGGCAGAGTCAGTCTGCAGAAGACTGAAGGCGAGCGCTTTGACCCCGACACCGGCAGTGGAATGCTGTTCCTCAGTAATGTGACTGTGGCTCACGCAGGTTTCTATGAATGTGAAGCCTGGAACGCAGGAGGCGTGGCCAGAGTGACCTTTCAGCTTGCCATCAACTCATCCACTTCCTCCTCCTCCTCTTCCTCCTCCATCTGGGCCTCGTGGTCCCAGGTGTCTTCGCCATACTCCCCCGCCTGGCCCCGCCTAAGGAACCACGGTCCTGCTTGGGGCTCAGATGTGAGCCGGGAGCCCCTGTACGCTCTGGGCAGCATGGCCTTCAGCGCTCTGGGAGCTGCTACCCAGACTGCCATCGCTGTGGGCATCTCTCTGCTGGCTCTGACTGCTCTGCTGCTGGTTGCCATGATCTACAGCCGACATCACCAACGAGACAAGGAAGCTGATGGAGCTGAGAAGGTGTGTGTGTGTGTGTGTGTGTGTAGGAAGAGAAAATGCCCCATTTTTAAAAGGGACCTATTATGCTAATTTTTACTTCTGTATTCTTTGCCTGAGACTTTACTAGAGTAGCTTTGCATGATTTACTCTTTAAAAACAACATTATTATTTATTTTATTCTGCCCTTCATGCTGCTCCTCACTTCATCCTCTGTCTGAAAAAACTCTGAACCTTTGCTTTAGAATTGATGTCATAGCTATGATGTAAAAGAGTTCCTAAAATAAAATAATAAACCTCTGAAAGTAATATGGACCCTTTCATAACATCTATTGGCATCCAGTACAAACTCCCATCACATACAATGAGGTAATTTTTTGCCAAACTTTCAAAGTTTGAATGGATGGACAAATCTTCAAAGTTAATATCATCAAGCCAGAGCCAAACTCCTGAATAATGTGCCCGAAAGGGAGCATGTAAAAAGAAAATTAGACAAGGGTGATTCTGGTTTCCTGTAGCTCGCATCATTCTTACTAAGTCGAATCAAGTGGGGCGGACAGGACGATATGCATACAGCTAAAGCAAGGATAAGAAAGCTAAACAAAGACATATTTATTATATACAGGTAAGTAGCAAAATCGATATAGAATAACAAGTTGACAACAACATACAGTGTAGGTAAAAGAAGTATGTGGAAATAGTGTATGTATGGCCTGTGAAATAATTTACTTTATGACCATATTGCGTCACGTTAACTCTTCATGGATTAGCACCTGGCATGCTAAAACTTTTCTTTCGTTTTATAGTGACAGTTTCAGCAATATGACAAAAAGTTATTTATAAAAGTTACCTACTGCAGCTTTAAAACCTCTAATTTTTCTGTTATATTGGATATTGCTGTACCCCAATAGTGATTAACTTGAATTTGAACCTGCAGGAGGAGAGCATCCTGTATGTGAATGACTACTCTGATGGCCCCACCACCTTTGCCCAGCTGGAGGAGTACCGTGACGAGCGCGGCCATGAGATGTACGTACTCAACCGGGCCAAGCCTGTGCTGCCCCCTGCTCCACCCACAGCCGTCTCCACCACTAACCTGGGTTGCCCCGCTCCATCTGACACCTCCAGCCACACCCTCTCCTCAGGGCCGGGCCAGAACATGAGTCCCACTCTGGTCCCCAACAAACAGCAGCAGCAGCAGCAGGAGGGCGACATACGGACCATGAGGAGAATGGCGGGGGAGGGAGGGGAGGCTGAGCCTGTGATCACATCAGAGGCTGAAGGGATGTTTCTTAATCACACAGGCCTGTTTATGGACTCTCAGATCGCCTATGAGATCCACTGCTGAAGTGGGAAGAGGATCCACTGCAGAACACAGGGTTTGTATATGTGAGGCAGCGCATACGGCAAAAACTGTCACATCTAATCTGAAGAAAGTAAGGGTAACACACTGATTTAACACTACTATACTATACTCATCCCTGTAGAGTGATTCACTTCTACAAGGCTCATTTACTCTTATTGGAGAAGATTTACATACCTGGCAGAGTTCACAGTCTGGTTTATTAAATCAAGCATAGCACTGAGACTTTTCAATACTGTGACACCAAAACATCAGTGGTGAGTAGATGCCCTACACTCAAAGACAATTTTACCTGGACTAAGGTTCATACTGAGCTGCTCACACTATCCTGTACGTGAACATTTGGGTCAACATTTATCAGAACTACTTTCATACCAAAAACCTTCCATCATCATTGCTGTACAAGAGTTCAAGAACTGAGACAAAGCTTATTGTGTTTTCCCCATACAAAATGGGGAAAGTCATGTAAACTTCCAGTTCATGAGCATGTCCCACATGCTCTAGTGTGTTTTTTTTATCTGTTTGGATATGTTTTATTTAATCTGAGACTGTGCATGCTGTTGAAGGCAGTACAGTAAGTGTGGGACAGCCACAGCTGATTTTTGTAACTATTGGTTTAAACATGAGTGGACATGTTAATCATCACAGAGAAAGGATTTTAAGGGAAGGAGTCCTAATCTCCCATCATTTGCCATATGGATCTGTTTTGATCAACATCCTGTCCAGTTCCAGATACCTACAATGAAACTCTGGGGTCTGTATTGCCCAACAAATTCAAACTACTCTGGCTCACTTTGGATTTGCTGCCTCACTGAGCCTGACATTGGTGATACTGGTTATCATGAAGCTGGTTATCGCATGGCTCACTTACCCTGTTTTTTTTATGAGCAGGTTCACATGAAAAAGCCAGGTTTCTTAATTAGAGGCAACATCAACAGATCTTAGAAATACTCCAGCATAATATATAATATGAAATAGCATGAAGTGGGTGCTGTGGTGGCAGAAAGTAATATTCAGTGAGGTAAACAATATATAAATAAATCACAACTAAAATTTAATTAGAAATATTAGGAATATAATAAGAAATATCATGTAAATATTAAAAGTGGGACAAGTATAAATTGTTGGGATTACTATAATAGCATTATTAAAACTAGAGCCCAACTGCTATATTAAAACACATATACAAATAGTCTACTTGGAACAATAATGTGTGTCTGTATGATTTCTGCATTAAAATCCTTAAAAAGGCATCTACTCCCTCTGCCTCATTAAAAATTCCAGAATCTCTGAATATGCAAATTATTTCCAAAGTTTTCCTGCTGGACACAAGATGTCTTCTACTTCTCTGTAAAGTCCATTCTCAGTGGATGTGCACTGGTGGCTTCAGGTTTCTACATCACACTGTACAAGTTGCATACTGGACCA